GCGAGGGCTTCAAAGTGGAGTTTTGTGGGGGAGGGGGGTGTATTCTCCTCCCAGGTGATTTCTGACCGATAAACGGATAAATATTAAAGCGCCTCTCGATCCGCTAATAAAAGGAATCGATTACTTTTAACTCATTTAATTCCGCTTCCAGGCGAGCTTCGCTGAGAGCAGAAGAAGCTGCGAATTAAAAAAAAAATAATTAAAAAAATTAAAACTTAAATTAAAATTTAAATCTCCATTTTAAATTAGTTCATTAAGAGCCAGCATCTATTATTTATCGGTTTAATTTCCAGCTCTCGTGGCAGTACCGGGCCAGGTTCTGGCATCCCGGGTCGTCATGGCAATGCGCTCATGAGCTAATTAATTAAAGATGAAGGGAAATTGGTTTTCCTGATTTGGGGGGAAGGTTTGGTTTGGGTTTGGTTTGTTTTTTTTTACATCCACATTTTGTCCCTGGCGTCGTCCCCGGGGCTCGGCTTTGCCAAATCAGACCGCGAGGACCCCCCAGGACCCATTTCCTCGGAGGCGAAACATCGTCGGAATAATCCCAAAAAGAGAGAATAAGACATAGAAATGGAAACGTGGGCGCCGCGCTGGGCTCCGGGAGGTAAAATTTATAGCTCCAGCTTCCCCAGCTGCCGGCTCTGCCCGCGGGCGCCGCGCTCTCGCCTGTATCCCTGCCTCCCACGGAAACCCGGAGATAAATCCTCTTCCGCGCGCCAGTTTTATTGGGGTTTTGGAGAGGAGAGGTTTTAGGTAGCCCAACCAGTACGCACGGGTCACAGCTCAGATTTTTAGATATTAGAGCTAATAACTGTATTTTATAGCTAAGATCTATATACTATAGCTAATACCTGTATATTAGAGTCAATGCCTATATATTAGAGCTAATATCTGTATATTAGAGCTAATAACTGTATACTAGAGCTAATATCTATATATTAGAGCTAACATCTGTATTTTACAGTTAAGATCTATACACTATAGCTAACACCTGTATATTGTAGTTAATATCTGTATATGATAACTAATATCTGTATATTATAGCTAATATTTATATACTATAGCTAATACCTATATGTTATAGCTAGTATCTATCTATTATAGCTAATGCCTATATATTATAGCTAGTATCTATATATTATAACTAATACCTGCATGTTATAGCTAATATCTGTATCTTATAGCTGATATGTGTCTGTTATAGCTAATACCTACACATTATAGGTGAAATTTCTCTATATTAGAGCTGATACACTTATCTTACAGCTAACTTTTCTAGCTTGTGCAGCTAGCACACCTGTATTATACCTAAAATTTTGATTTATTGGAGCTCACATGGGTACCTCAGAGCCGGGGTTTTTTAGATATAGTGAATCCATGTACATCAGAGCTCAGGTTTCCACATATCAGCACGTGTCGTAGCTCCAATTTTCAGATATTTTAGCTAATCTGTGTATATTATTGACGGGATTTCTAGCCGTTACGGCTAACGTATATAGAATATTGACAGGATTTTTGGTATTACAGCTAATAGCATATCTATTCTAGCTCCAGATTTCGAGCTTACCTCTAGATTTCGAGCTTGTCCAGCAAGCCCACCTGGGGGAATAAAACCCCTGAGGAGTGGACGGAGGGTGAGGGGGGGGCCCCCACAGCCCTTTGGGGTTTATTTTTCTCCAGACCCATGCGTCGGGCACAGATATTTTTCAGAAATACCCTTTTTTTTCCCAGCCCCTTC